GCATTTCCTGGGAGAGGCGTCAGAGCGGCAGCCTCAGACTGCACGTGGGTTGCTGCCCCTGGTGCCGAGGGCGCGTCTCGGGTCCGGACCCGCTTTCAGGTGAGCCGAGGCTTCGGAGGACTCCGGAGGAAGTCGGGGAGGGGAGCACTGACCTGGGCTGGGGCATGAGGACGGGGACGCGGTGCAGATGGCGTGGGGTCCGGGTCTCGTCGTGGGAGGAGTTTGGTCAGGCCTCGAGGGGCTGTCGGGGTGCCGAGTCGAGGTTCTGGTAGAGATGATGCCCCTTCCCGCTCAGATACGCTAAGTCTGCGGGCCGCCGTTCCCTTTCCGACACGGCGACTCACTCCCATTTTCCTTTTCCCCAGTATCATGGGGCGCAAGTTGGACCCGACCAAGAAGGAGAAGCGCGGGCCCGGCCGAAAGGCCCGAAAACAGAAGGGCGCTGAGACCGAGCTCGCCAGGTTCTTGCCTGCAGGTGAGGCTCAAGCATGCCTCCGATTCTCCAGCTTGTGCGCCGCTTTTCCCATGTGCATTCAGAACCTTCATTCCCTCCACTTCCTGTTGAAGCGGAATCTCGTCTGTATGAGTTACTAGGGATAAGTATGAATGAAACACGCCATCAGCGTTAGAGCTTAGGGAAGAAGCGACGGGGACACGAGTACCCATAACAAGGAGAGGTTTAACCCTGAAGGAGGTGTCCTAACTTAGATTTTCAGAACCTGGGTTTTGAAGAATGGAAGCTATTTTATTTATTTTTTTAAAAATATTTTTTTATTGATTTCAGAGAGGAAGGGAGAGGGAGAGAGAAGTATCACTGATAAGAGAGAATCATTGATTAGCTGCCTCCTCCTGGTTTATGGGTCAGCACTCAACCACTGAGCCACTGGCCGGGCTGGGTGACGTTCTAGCAAGTGGAAGTTGGGAAGGGGACAGGCCAGTCCCTGTGAACTGCGTTCTGGAGGGGATGGAGGTGGGAACACAGAAACCTGGTTCCCACATGTGAGTAGTCCGCTGCGGGGAAGACTGGCAGAGGAGACAGGTAGTTGGCATTGCACATTGGAGACAAAATGCAGTTAGTTGAGCTGAGCGTTATACTGAGCCCTTTGGACACATTGTTATGCTTCGTTCTCTTGGTGCCCCCTGAGAAAGGCACTGTTAAGGAAGTGGATGCTGAGAGGTTAATTACTTGCATACAGTTACTAAATGAAGGGTTGAGATTTAAACCCTTTATTTCTTGGAGAATGTATGAAAAACAGCAGTTGTAAAGGTAAAATCCGCAGTGGTTGATAACCAGTTAAATTGAGAATGAGGGAAAGAGCAGAAGAAGCTCTAGCTTTTAAATCTATGTTATCAGAACGGTGATGGTGCTCCTTATTGAAATCAGAAGTCTGAGGGAGGCTCAGTTTGGATTTGGTTGTTGAACAATGAGATGGAGATCATCTTTATATTTCTTACCCAGCTCCTGGTAAAGCACCGTGGAGTGAATTAGAATTGACCCCCTTTCATTAACTTTCTTTCCCCACTTCTTTCCTCACTTCTTCCCTCTGTCCTTGCTGTTTTTATTTTCCCTGTAACTTCCTGTTCTTTCTCTCTCTCTCTCTTTTACAGCTGGTGATGAAAATTCCAAAAGGCTGTCTAGTCGTGCTCGAAAGAGGTGAGTGTGGATGTCCAGACTTACGTAGATTAAGTTGATGCTGTTCATCTTCAGCCACGTGACCCCATGTGATCATGCTGATGAAAGGGTTGTTTGGGGACTGTCACACTTCCTTGTGATGGGAAATGTCAGAACCTGGAGGTGTATTCCATTTCCTCAGTCCTTATATGTTTTCATATATTTTCAGGGCAGCCAAGAGGAGGTTGGGCTCCGCTGAAACCTCTGAGATGAATAAGCGTCCTGGGGTCAAACCATTGCCTGGAAAGCTTCCAAAAGGTGAGTGAAAATAGGAGCTGGGTGCTACTTGAAGAGTCCTGTGGGCCTGGGAAGGGAAGGGCTTGCTGATCATTTCTGGAGTGAAAGGAGCAGTCAGAGGATATTCCTGGGGGTGGAAAGTCCAGGCCGTGTGTGGCTACCATTAGTTTAGGTTTCTTCAAACCCTTAGGGATCTCTGTAGGAGCTCTCCAGACACCTGGTAAGAAGGGAGCCCAGTCCTTACTTAACACTGCTCGAGGCAAGAAGCGCCCAGCACCAGCCCATAGCAGTGACGAAGAAGAGGAAGAGGAAGACTCTGAAGAGGATGGTGTGGTAAACCAGGGAGACCTCTGGGGCTCTGAGGACAGTGATGCGGATATGATAGATGACTATGGAACAGACTCCAACTCAGAGGACGAAGATGAAGAGGAGGTGAGTTTATTTCTCTGGTTGTTCAGGAAGTGATCCTTGCATTTTAGTCTTTCCAGATCCTTGAGACAGGGATAACCCTTAGTAGCAAAAAGGGATTTTAGTGGTTTAACACTGTTTTCCTATCACCTTACATCATTCCAGGGCACATGCATGTTTAAGTGAGCTATTTGATAGAGCATGAGAATGCTCAGTGCTGATGAGGATGTGGTAGGGTGGACACTTGGTACCCCACTGATGGAAATAAAAATGCACACTTTTTTTTAATATAAGTTCATTTTAATATATTAATTTTATTGATTTCAGAGAGGAAAGGAGAGGGAGAGAGAGCTAGAAATATCAATGATGAGAATCATTGATCGTTTGCCTCTTGCACACCCTATTGGAGATTGAGCCTGCAACCCGGGCATGTGTCCTTGACTGGAAGCGAACCCTTCAGTCCACAGGCCGATGCTCTATCCACTGAGCCAAACCAGCTAGGGCGCACACACATTTTTTATAAAGCATTTGCTGAGAACCTTAGAAACTTTTTCTTTCTTCTTTTTTAAAATATTTTTTATTGGTTTTGAGAGAGAGAAAGATGTGAGAGGGAAACATCAGTTGGCTGCTTCATGAACTCACAACCCCGGGCACATGCTCTGACCAGGAATCGAACTGGCAACCTCTCCGTGCACGGGACAATACCCAACCAACTGAGCTATGCCAGCCAGGGCTAGAAACGTTCTTTACCTAGTAATTCCATTTAGGAAATGATCCAAATGTGGACAGATTTATTTACAGAGGTGTAAGAAGTTATTTATGTGTTCTACAATTAGTATATGGGTGTGTTATTAGAGAATTTTAAGTAATATAGAGTTATATAGAATTTTTTAAAAGCCCCTGAAAATCAATTGAAAAAGAAAAAGCAAGTTCCAATTTGCACCCCTCACCCACAAGCCCCATCTCTCTATAGAGCTCCTATTACGAGATTTTGAGGCACCACATGCACTCTAATGTGAAAAGCTCTGAAAAATTTCAAACTACCCAATAGACATATGCTAAGTAACACTTGGCCATCGTGTCCGAATGTGCCTTTTCTCTGTGAATGAGAAAAAGCAGGAAACAAATATGGAAACGTATCATGATTTTAACTGTAGGAAAAGTAGAATAGGGAGCATTTGAAATCTTGCTTCCCAGCAATTGTTGTCAATTTTGGCTCAAATAAACTCTTATAAAACTTCTCTTAAAAAAAAAATAATGAAGAAGTCTGGAAGAAAATATGGCAGAAAAGATGCCTAAGGACAGTTTTTGTCCTCCCTGTACACATATGGTGTGTATTCATGTTTTAACTTCTTAATGGAAAGGGAAATGCAAAAGTAGATAGGACAGTATAAGGAACCCTTTGAATCCATCCTTTAGTTTCAACAGTTGTCAGTATTGTGCCAATGTTAAATTCATGTCTTTAGGGTCTATGTTTCCTTCTGAGAGCAAGTGTTACATTTGTATTTAGGAAAAAATAAAATACAGAGATACAAAGTGCTAGTGGGTTGGTGGGAGGGCAAGCTCTGCATCACCAGCCTCTCCTCTCTTTCAGTTGCTGCCCATTGAAAGGGCTGCTCGGAAGCAGAAGGCCCAGGAAGCTGTTGCTGGGTGAGTTTTGGAAACTCTTTAGGATGGAGAATAGTTAGCAGCTGGGATGAAGGAAAAGGTGAGGAAGGAAGTGGTGTCTGTTTTGATCTGTGAATCACTTTGTTCCTGGGCCTGTTTCTAGGGGCCAGTGGAGTGAGGAGGAAACTGATGAAGAGGAGGAAGAGGAGGGAGTGTCCCCTGAGTCAGGCCCCCAAAAGGAATACGAGACAGATGGGGGCCTGCAGATCAACCTGGATGAAGAGGAGCCTTTTGTGCTGCCCCCTGCTGGGGAGATGGAGCAGAATATCCTTCCAGTGAAGGGTGAGGGGTGGGGGAAGGTGCTTGCTGGAGGGGATTTCCAGGCCCTGGGCCATTATGGAACAGTTTCTTAACAGGCCCACGTGCCCAGGCTCCAGACTTGCAACGAATTCACAAGCGCATCCAAGACATAGTGGGAGTGCTGCGTGACTTTGGGACTCAGCGGGAGGAAGGGCGGTCTCGAGCTGAGTATCTGCACCGGCTTCAGCGGGATCTGGCCACTTACTACTCCTATGGAGACTTTCTGCTTGGCAAGCTCATGGACCTCTTCCCTCTGTCTGAGGTACCGAATTGCCAATCTAATGCTCCTTCTGCTTTCCTGTTCTCACCTCTCTCCTTACCCTGAGTAAGGAAGGCGGTCAGCTCCCTTGTTCAATTCTGGCTGAGCTTGGCCAGCCTGACTTGCTCCTTGCCATCTTGCTTTACCAGCTGGTGGAGTTCTTAGAAGCTAATGAGGTGCCTCGGCCCATCACCCTCAGGACCAACACCTTGAAAACCCGGCGCCGAGACCTTGCTCAGGTGAGGGGTGGGTTTTGAGGTTTGCTTGTCTCTGCGAGGTACTGACTTCTGTTAACCACAGAGACTCCCTATCCCACCCTGACTGGTATTGGTTGTTGGTATAACCATGATTCCAGGAGGCAAACCTATATAGGCCTGGTGTCATGCTGGTCTGTCTGACTGGCTGGGGGCCTAGGACCTCTGTGAAGTGGAAAACTCGCCCTTTAGCCTCTGCTCCCTATGACAGTTGAGACACCTAAATAAGGATGAAAGTGCTGCCTCAGAAATGGGAGGGACTTGTCTGCCTTTTAGATCATTGAGAAGCTGGTGAAACTGATTCCTGCTCCCAGAAAGAGAGCACATGGGCATAAACCATGTTTTAGGCTCATTGTTTCCAAGGGCTCAAGGACCCCCGGTTAAAGACCCCTGTTCTAAAGTTCAGTTCACCTGTGTGTGTTATATTTCCTGGTACGCAGATAACCTGATAATTATCTTTAATGTGCTCTGACCAATAGGATTAAATTTTGGTATGTTAAAGGGCTAAGCCTCTTGGAAAATTGGAGTCCCCTTCCAGGAAATAGCAGGAGCTGCCAGTCTGCTTCAGTGGGATGGAGTTCAGACCTTGAATTAGAGCCTCAGGCTAAGGAAAAGGACACCAGAGGATGGGGTGGGATGGAATGGGGTGGGGTGGGATGTGAGAGGATCAATTGCTTTCAGAGAGTCTGTGGGGATTATTTTCTAAGAGGTCTAAGAGTTGTCACAGACTTCCTGATAGGACCAGGTTTTCATATCTCCATCTGTTTTCTGGACATGGTAACCTATAAGGCTTTAAAAATTTTCATTCTTGCCCTAA